AAAGAGAAAGAGACAACTTATAATTATATTATAAACAATAATAATAAATAATTTATAATATAACAATTTATAATTATACTAAATACTTTTCACTTAGGTCAAGATTTGCATTGTTTATTTCTTTTCACGCTTTATCTCAATCGCTTTTTAAAAACCAAAATGTGTATTCTTTTAATACCACGTTATCACAAAAAAAAAAGAAGAAAAGAAAAAAAATAAAGAAAAAAAAAGAGGACAAAAAGACAAAAAGAATATAACAACAATATTATTATGAATCGCCAGCACCAAACTTTTCCCTTCCACCCCCCCCATTTACCCCATTTTATTTGTTTATTCATTTATTTATTTATTTATGTATTTGTCTTGTTTTTTTTTCTTTTCTTTTCTTTTGTTTTTATCAACAATTTCAAGCTATACGTTTTGAACGATCATTTCATATCTAATCTATCATAATTAACTTATTAAATTAAATTAACTCCTTAAATACATATACACATGGACATGATGTATTTATAACATATATATATGCATATTTATGATGAAGGCGCCATTTCATAAAAATATTTACATAGATAATTATAGTGGAATAAACATAGTATGTTCATTGCATCGTATTATGTTCTTCTTTGTAATGCAACTAAAACTAGCAGAGAAAAAAATATCTTCGAGAAAATATGCGCTTTTACATGGATCGACAAAAAAGAGATGAGAAATAAGAAAATTAAGCGAACTAAAAAAAAAAATTAAAACAAGAAAAATGACGAATTTCATTTTTTCACTCGAATGGTATCAATTTCTTTTTTCTTTTCCTTTTTCTTTTTTTTTTTTCTTTAATGTTTTTATTCAATATAATAAAGAATAAAATCAATAAATTAAATATCTCTTCGTCTAATTGCAATGAGATATTTAATAATTTATTCTTTTTTTTATTATGTTTCTCTCTCTCTCTATCTATCTATCTTTTCTTGACAAAAAAAAAAAAGAAAAGAAAATGACGTATGTACGCATTTTCTTTCTCCCTGGAATTCACTATCCGCATAATGAAATAAAATGGATCCGAATGAAATCACGGAAGCGTGTAACGAGCACAAAAATCTAATCGATCGATCGATCGGTCAATCATGATGCGAGAACGAACAGAGAGAGGAAATACGTCCGAGATCTGACGAACACAGATTTAATATTGGCATTTCAATTTGTGATGTAATACCTAGCAACTACTGTATCGTGTAAAAGTTTCAAAAGCATTCTCTCAAAAAATAGATCGGCGGCTTAAAATTTCTCAAGTAAAGATCAAAATCGTTTTTTAATATCGTTCCTTTGCTAAAACTTTTAGCCCCTTATCAACCATGTATATTGTCTACTTCCTCATCCCTTCGTTTATATTAATTTTTTTTTTTTTTTTTTTTTTTTAACATTTAATCCATTCGAATCAAATTTTTTTTTTTTTTTTTTTTTTTTTTTTCTATGAGCAATATAGTTTTTATAATCATTAGATACGTATGTATATGTAAATAAATATTTTACAACGTGATATTGCATGATTTTATTATCCTAATTTCAATCAGTTATTATTATTATTATTATTATTATTATTATTATTATTATTATTATTATTATTATTATTATTATTATTATTATGATTATCATTATTATTCCTCTTATATTTTATTATTATATTATTATTCCTTTTTTATTTTGTTATTGTTATTGTTGTTGTTGTCGTTGTCGTTGTCGTTGTCGTTGTCGTTACTGTTGTTTTAAATATTTTTCTCTTTTAGACAACGACGTAATTCGTTTTCCATGTATAAAAATAAACTTTCTACGATAGAACAAACATAATATTACATGATCCTATTATCCTAAAGAATATATGTAACACGATTACCTAACGTTGTCTGATCTCTTATACTTAATTACATGCGCCCTTGACGTAAGTATTTTCCTGAAGGACATTACAAGGGATTCATATAAGAATATAACTCGTGCTTCTCATGTCGAGTCAGCGAATGACTTTATTCAATAATCATAAGTATCCTCGATGATTCCCAATAACACGTTTTTAATTCTTTCACTTAGAAATCTTATGTGCGACGTTGAAAAAAAAATATATACTCTTTTTTCTTTCTTTTTTTTTCTTCTTTTTTTTTATTTTTTCTTTTTATTTTTCTTTTATTTTTTTTTTATTTTTATAAATTTTTTTATATAAATAATTCGATCCAAATTTCAGAAGACTCAATGATCAGTTTATATTTTAAAGAACATTAAAAGATTTTTCAGTTAATCATTAACCTTAGTTTTTAAAATCTAATTTCATTTTTTTATATATGTTCCTCATTTTAAATTTCGTTAAATTTTGCTCACGAAAACTTGTAAACTCTTGTGTGCGTGTGTATATATATATATATTTTTTTTTATTCATATATTTACTGATTTATTTATTTATTTTGTAATTTGTTGAATACTGTTTTCATAAAATCATTGAAGTTGCAATAATTCCATCTAATATTACAAAAGATCGTAGTATGTGCGTAGTTGATTTACCACAAGTGTTAAACAGTGAAAAAGAGAGACTTGAAAAACACTTTAATTTCATTAAAACATTTCAACGTTATAAGACACAACGATGAGTATGTATGTACTTAAATAACAAGTTTCTGACTCTTTCAAAAGTGTTTTCATATTTCAATGGAGAACGCAATATTCGTATAAACGTAATAACCATTTGCAACAGGTGCAATGATTAAAATAATTTTCGTTTATAACGTTTATCAGAAAATATCCCTTTGAAAATTTACTTAATCGATTTATACGTTCTACGTATAAATAGGACAGTATATAAATAATTAATTAATTTTAAAAATCAATTACTCTTTTTCGAGATCTCTTAGATTAATTTCTATGTTTCTTTGTTCGTTTGTCGTTGTTTTGTTTTTTTTTAACGATAAAAAAAACTACAAGTAAGATTTCTGTCTAATTATATCAAAAAAAAAAAAAAAAAAAAAAAAAAAAAAAAAAAAAAAAAAAAAAAAAAGAGAGAAA